TTTCCGCACATTTTATTTATCTTTTTTCTCTCTTATAACTTTATTGAGTTTATGATGTGACGAGTAATAATTTATATAATCAGAGTTGAATTTTACGAGACGCAGTATCTTTTTCTTATGTTAGTAGAGTAGTCTTTGTATTATACGGTTATTTTATGTCGATTTTATAATGCGAGGAAGAAGTATGCATTAAAGTATAGTCTTCGACGAATTGACTAACATAAGTTTTATATTTCACTGTATCTTTTTCCGTCCACTTTTTTATACTTCCTTTCGAAAATTCTTTCATTCCTGAGTGCTCCACAAAACAGAAGCGCCCATAAAAAATATTATCGTCCATTATCGATGTTGTTGTCGTCTTGGCTTTAATTGCTTGATTGTGTGGCAAATGATTGTATCGCATTACTTCGGAGCACCGTTGCACATACATACACGCACTTTTGTATCTATTATATATATACATATATATATTTATGTCAGAGTGTGATCGTTGTCGCGGAGTCTTTATTCTCTATCCACATGGTAAGCAGGACACTGTGAATATCACCCAGGAATGTCTTCGCGGAGGATCGTTTTCCCCGATGATTTTTATATACCTCCGTACGATTCATTGTATTTTATATAGTAGGTACTATCTATTGTGAGATCGACATGCGTGTGTTCCTCGGAAAGCAGCCCTTCCCCCTGTCTTATGGATCTCTCTGTCTTACTATTTTCATAAAGTGTGTTTTGTGATATATCGTAGAATAGATATTTCTAACAGCGGTGTACCTCTTAGAATATACGCGCCGGATCGAGAAAACGGTCGAGAATTAAAATAGATTAAATATGTAAACCTGTGTCTACATGTAAATTACAGAATGTAATCGTATTTTGCAAACGTTTTGTCGGTTCGGCACACGACGTTTACGAATAATAATTTTAGATAATTTATTATCTTTGGCAGCGGTATTTTGTATCCTAATTATGGTCGCAAAATCTCGCAGAAAGTGATCGGCCGCAATCGAATGTGTCAACTTTCTTTTTTCATATTCGTACGACTTTGTCCGACACTTTAAATATGTTGTCATATTAAGTAACGATATCATAATATTAAAATCATTATACAGTAGCAATATATTCGTCATTGATTGACGATGCAGTTAGGTCCAACTATTCTGCAATTGAGAGATCTACGATTGTTTTTTATGCAAAGGTATTACAAAAAAAATCTAATCTCTAAGTATAGTTCGTAGTTAGATTAATGACAGTTTTGTGCAAATATATGATCATGTACACTCAATATATATGGATATGTTTATATTTATAATAGAAATTGTGTTAAAAAGTTTCGCTTAGCGTTAATAACGCGAATCTTCTCAACGACGCGTAGCATATCCACAACAAGTAAAAGTGTAAGTTAATATAACTTTTTTAATTAATTCTTTTATTTTTTCCCAAGATTCTAGTGAAGCATGTTAAGTAGATAAATGTAGTTTGGAGCAACGAAACAGTAATCAGTCGTTTATTAAAATTGTCAAATATTGTAAGAATTACAATAGTAATTTTTTAATCGATTATTGCATTTATAACTTTTCGCATCAAGATTGATTAATCATATCATAGTAGACTGATTACTGTTATTTATAATTATTTAAAAAATCATATCTATTTCTCTCTCTCTCTTTTCTCTCTATATTTAGATTAAAATGCATGCATTAATAATCTGGTATGTTTTTGAACTTATATATATATATATAATCTTTTTCCATGTATATATGATATATATTTATTACACTACACACACCAACACTACACTTTCAGCGTGAGTTCTTCTTTTCTCAAACTGAATGAGGTGTGTTCTCTCTCTTTTACAACTTTCGTCGAAGGCTTGCGAGAATTGTCCCTCGCTCCTGCGAAATAATAAATTTTTTGTTTATGATTTTTATATCCCTCACAATTTTCTTTTATTGCATCTCGGTTCTTTCGAATAATATAAAATACTCTGATTTTCGGCTTGCAGTTTTCGCGCTTTATTCCTTCATTAGAGATTACGGCGCGTTCTTAGATCTATATTAGATCGATAAAGTTCACGTGCGAGCAAGAGAATGGAAAAAGGATATAAAACTCATAAAGTACAGTTTCGATTTCCATTGCTCGTAAGCATTGTGAGCACAGGTTTTTCATTCTTTCTCGACGTGTTCTTTTACTTTTTTCAAGCGTTTCTTTTCTATCGAATCATACTTCATATATTTTCCGTCGTATTTCAAAATAAAGGAGTTGCGTATCTTTGCTAAATATATAATTTTGAAAACCGCAGCTGGTCTCCGAGTCTGCGGATGGCAGGCGAAGGGCAGTTGAGAGACTTCATCGAAGATCTTGGACCGGGCCAAGTGGTCGGGAGGCAGGCGCTCGGTGCCCGTTGCCTCGGTGAGATTCAACTGTCGTTGAGCCACACAAAGGGTTATCTGGAAGTAGAGGTCATACGTGCCAAAGATCTTAAAGCGAAGCAAGGCAGCAAAGCAATACCAGGTAAGTTGTTTTGAATAAATAATGCCCGATCAACAAGTGCTGATGATTCTTATTCCAGCTCCTTATGTGAAGCTGTACCTGGTGAACGGTAAAAGATGCATAGAGAAAGCGAAAACCATGATGGCCAGAAAGACGTTAGATCCGTTCTATCAACAATTGTTGGCTTTCAAGGAAAACTGTCGGGGCTGCATATTACAGGTACGTCTTTAAACATCGTTAATTTTTTTTATAATGCATGCATTTTTAGATGCATGTATGTTTGATTATAATTCTATCGTATATCGCGGTTTCAGGTGACGGTGTGGGGCGACTACGGTCGGATAGAAGGGAAAAAAGTGTTCATGGGTATTGCACAGATCGTATTGGATGAGCTGGACCTCAATCAGATGGTGTTCGGATGGTACAAGCTGTTTGACACCCAAGCCCTGGTCAGTGGAGCTCCATCCCTTGCTTTGTCCCGTCGATCTTCGGCCACGTCTCTCGATTCTTTTAAAATCTAAAAGAATGACTGTCCGAAGAACGTACCGAAATAATTCCTTTTACACATGTATTTAACGAGGAGATGTTTGAGTTTCTTACAGTAGAGCAAAGTAGAGCAAAAACACTAAATTGAGTCCGAGCTCCTATCTCGCGGTGCACCTATAGTCGCTTCCACCATTTTAATAGGATACCGAAATGCACGAGTCTCGATGTATATAAGGTAGTATCATATTTATTGATAAACAATTAGAAAGATTGAAAGTGAAAATCGTTAACATTTTTAATATCTTAAATGACATGCGGAAAATCATCGTTTGATGATATTATGATGTAGCGTCAAATGTAAAGTATATTTGGAGTTAAATAACTATTTAAGATTATCGTTATATTTACCGTGGAAAAGAGTCGAGGATAGCATCATAGATAATTCTCTATCGTATCATAATATTACCATTCTTCCGCTACGGTTGACAACAAATGTTTCAAAAGAATTTTAAACACGCTACGCGCATTCCCCTCGTAAGCTACATTAAATGTTGAAGCCTAAGACTACATAACGAGTGACGTTTGGCTCTGAATACGGTAAAGTCAATTTAACGTGATATGCAGTATACGAAAAATAAATACATTGTACGGATAATATAGATGGTTTCGCGGGAGAGGGAGAGAAAAAGAGAAACAAAGAGAAGAATGAAATTGAAAGATAACGCAAAAGCGATGCGAGAAAAGAGTGTGAAAAAACGTACGGGAGAGGACATGTCTTTCTAGAAACACCACTAGTACATCACATATCATGTACGGCATATCAGACGAGCCACTAGTCTGTATGTAGGACTAGATGTAGACGTAGCCAGCCATGTGTTCCCGGAGCGCCAGATAGTTTTTAGGTACGCACTGAGAATCAAGGCATCGTTCGTAGATAGTTGAACAATGATTTAACGTGGGTACATACGAAACAGATGATACGATTGCAAACTGTCGCGATGACAATTATAAATATCTTTGTGTTCGCGATATACGTTGATAATCGAATGTCGCTCGTACGTTAAGCACGTTTATTAATTAACGTTATTCAATTAAATTTTCTCGAGTACCCATGTGAAATCTTGATACACATTTGTTGTTGCCAATATCTTTTTGTCCATTTCCATGACGTTTTGTATAGAAATCTCCTCTTCTCTTTAAAAATGCCTGTTCTATTATATACAAAAATAATTCTATGCGGCTTCGAAGTAGTCGAGTCTAGATAACCGATAAACGAAGCAAGATTACGTTATCATACGCGCTCGATGTACTTCGTTGCCTCGCATTTTATCTGTATCGATTGTTATTTTTCCAAACTTGTGTATACGTGATATGCCTCCGAAATTTGATTCGACGTGAGAAAATTCGATTTTTTTCATTAATCCTTAAACGCAATTTTTGAACTTGCATCTTGCGACTTTAGTATTTTTCCACACTTGTCCACACATAGGAACTATTTTCGTAAATTTCCTGATATATTGCTTGGTATATATCACATTAATTTCCAACTTTGCACAACATTGCATTTTTCCTAATGATTTCAATTTTTCCTTCTAAATACATAGTAAGTCGTGACAGTTTTTAATATATTTATAGCTTGAATCTTTATCGATATCAAATAATGCGAAAGTATAAGCAAAGGTAAGTTTGTGCCGTATTCGGAGTCCTATATATCCTCTTGTATATTTTCTTAAAATGTTAATCAATTTTATATATTTATTGATGCTGAAAAAATTGATTATATATCCATCAATTCTTTTGGCATTATCTAATATATAAAATTTATATATATACTTATATATATGCGATAATAATATTTGAATAAATATCACACAAAATCTTTATTATTCAATATTTCATGTGATAAATTAGTAATAATATATGTATACAATTAGTAATACGTTTGTTTATTTCGTTTACAGTGAAAAACAACCAAATCAAGCAAGTTCGGGATAGATGTGAACTCAAATGTGGTGTACTAGATAAATAATATGTGAATACAAACAATTACACAATGACGCTCGTTTTCAGTGAATCTAAATATGTGTGTGTGGTTAAGTGATTAAAGAGATTACTGTAAAAAATGAAGCGACGAACGGTCTATGCACTTCATTTAATCAACTTGCGAGAAAGATTTAAAATGTTGCGAGAAAGAACAAGTATATATAAATATAAATATACTACATATATGCTTATGGAAGACGTTTCCAAACTTTGTATATAATTCTAGGACAGTTCAAGTACTATATATAAATACCGATCTCCGAAATGGTCGGCTAAAAGACATTTTATCGTTGTCAAATTTTTAGTCAAAAATGTCACCGTCAGAGCATATATATTATTTAATGTAAATAATGTAATAACTATATGAAATTGTGTGTGCGATATATATGTGCGCAGGTTTGAATGGATAATGGCGATATTTGCGTTATATTCTCGTTGACTTATCGTTTCTACAATTTACAATCATCATTATAGTTTTTCCGTGTTTTCTCTATTAATTAGATAAACTTCAATGTGATTTAATTTTTTCCAAATTAATTTAATTCGGAATAAATATAGAATGTACGATGATATAATTTTAATTACACACAATTTAATTTTAATTACACAGTTTGTTATTTTTTTATAATAACATTTGTCCGTCATCGTACACGCTATTACATTAGTCAGCTTTTTAAGCTTTATTTAGTAACTCGTCTAAAATGACATAACCATTATAATATAAAAAATGTGGAGCAAGTGTTATATAGTACCACATTTTTCAAATATAAAGCAGACTGATAAATCGATTCCTATGATATCTATGTTTGGCTGCTTTTGTGAAATTAGTAATCTCGAGGAAGCCGGGATATAAAGAAATTATATTCAAACGAATTATAAATTAGCTTTGTTTTCAAAGAATTTTATTTAGAAATTTTATTTACATAAAAACCAGAGTTCTCGAAACAAATTGAAAAAAAAACGAACCGCCCATATAACTCGTGTAAACGGGACGCGCGTCGCGGCAAAATTTTTTTTTCGTACTGCTTTTGTACAAAAAAAAAAGAAGCAGTGACCGCCACACTAAATATTTAAGAGGCTTTGTAAATCTCTGTAAGAAATGCGTAAACGCTTGCCATTAATTTTATATATCTTGATTATCGTGCTATGTGTTCGATCTTTCTTCGTGCGTATCTTAAACACTCGCGAAGATATATTCAGCGAGCATGCACATGCACGTGAAGCGTCTGCTGTGAATTAGTAAATAATTACATTTGTGCCCTGAAAGAGAAATAGAGAGAAAGAGAAAGAGAAGTTGAGAGATTGTGTGTGAGAGAGAGAGAGAGAAAGAGAAAGAAAGAAAGAAAATTATTTTCTGTCAAGTATTTAAGGTCTGGCGTATCTTAAACACTCGCGAAGATATATTCAGCGAGCATGCACATGCACGTGAAGCGTCTGCTGTGAATTAGTAAATAATTACATTTGTGCCCTGAAAGAGAAATAGAGAGAAAGAGAGAGAGAAGTTGAGAGATTGTGTGTGAGAGAGAGAGAGAAAGAGAAAGAAAGAAAGAAAATTATTTTCTGTCAAGTATTTAAGGTCTGGTGTGTGTAAATTTCGTGTACAAGACAAACGTTTCAACTTAATTATGAGAAGAAATTGGAAAGAGCAAAAAGGAATATCTGTGCGAAGAAAAGCGAGTTTTTAATATTTTTTAAGCAGCATATATTGCGTTTTGCGTTCGATATTTATGTCGCAATTCACTTATGCTTTCACAAATTGATACATTAAACAAATACTAAATCGGTAAGATTGTTGCGCGAATTTTCTTTATATGTCTTATTAATTTTTGACAAAGTGATCTTTTTTTACATGACATGCTTTGAAATTATGAATCATTATAATTGTATGCGTGGAAGGTACTCCTTGGATATTACTGACAAAACTTTGATAAATGGAATGCAGTAGCTTCAAATGGCTATATTACGTATATTTTTGTAAATCTCCGATTTACCGATAACACACACAATTCGCTAGAAATATAGGTTTGAACGCAGAGAATTTCTATCCGGAATAATTCGCGTCACGTTTCTTGAGTGATTAAAGTCATAAGATTAAGTGATAGCAATGTCAACATCTCTCTTATCACAATTCTTACAATAATTGACCAAGTATAATATCTTGCTTTACAACTTGAAACGATTGTCTCATTCACACTCGCATTTTTGCTCTTCGATACTATACGACTATTTCTACGCGATCCACAACGCGCGTTTTTTTGAATTAAGATCGGATAGTGTAAGCGCGGTGTTTGATACGCGTGCTGAGATTATATCGAATTGCCATCGAAATACATGCATCCGTCGTTAAGCGAGCTATAAAGTAAGATTTAGCTTAGAGTTTGAGAAGAACGAAAGAAGTATCATTGATTTACAGACGAGTCATGCAGGTGCGTCATCGATAATCCGAATGTTCACGAATATAAATTCTAGATAACGTAACTTTTCTCGTAAATCGACAGACCGATCGAGAGTTTTAGGGAACGACAGAATTGTATAGAGAGGGGTGGTATCTTATCATATCTATAACATGCTTAAATTAGAGACATACGGCAAGAGAAAGAAGCTTTTTTACTCGTGAGAAAACAAAGACAAAAAGTAGGGTTCTAATCCGAAGAGATGTATATGTAAAGTACTGTGAAAAAAAAAATATTACTATGTAAGCTCATTTCTAAGTACATATTTTGCGAATGCACGGATTTATCAAGATTGTGGGACAATGATGACGTAATACACAAATATAATTCTGTAATAGTTAATTGACAAAATATACAAGACTACTATTACTACTACTAACGTAACTCTTCAGTTTGTAATGCGCCGTTTATACAGAGACGGCTGTAAGATTCTTCGCGAAATTAATTCGACACTCTTGTCTCTTCGTAAGCTGTTTCTTGTGCGCGATCTTGCGTTTCTGACTAATAAAACGATCAATAAATTTCAAAATAGATGTTACAGATTTACATTAACTATTACAGATTAAATAAATTTTGCTTTTAAAGTTGAGAGAAATCATAGCATTTTTGTATAATATGAAAAATTTGCAAAGACTGCACACTTTTGCAAGCGATTGAGCGAAAACAAGTAATTGATTACGTGTTTACGCATGCATTGCAGTAGAATATAATGATAAGATGTGATACATTTTACGAATTAGTAAAAATCTCACGGGAATTTACAGGCTATAAAAATTTAAGAGAATAACGAAAGTAACGTAATTGGTCTTCGCGTCGCGAACATTCTTTACAGTAATAATACCAAATAAATTTGTATACCTATGATCGTATCGATTGGACGACGAGGATGTTGATTTGCCAGAAGAAACAGCTCGAAGAAATACACGTCGATTTCTATTCTTGCCATGCCCATCTGTATATAGGCATGCTCAATTCTAGGATCGGACACGCGTATCGTGAAAATCACATATATACATAATATTAAACTACGAAACGCGCGAACACAAATTATTATTCGACTTTGTACCTATATATATTATTAATTAACTCAATGAAAAAGTACGGGGTAAAACCCCGAGTACTAATATCGATATGAATAGTAGAAGCTAGCAAAAATTGGGACATGAAAAAAAAGAAAAAATCGTAAGAGAAGATCTAGCAAAAAAGAACATAATGAAGGTGAAAGAACATTAATTACCGATGAAAATGCCTGAGAGCCAAGGGGTACCACTTTTGTCAAATTTAGAGAGCCAATTTAGGTTTATAATAAAATATAATAGAGTGTGTATATATGTATGTGTCGGACGTGTGAGAGAGATTGGAGAGAAAATGTAAGAGTGAAAATGTGTGCGAACAAGTCAGCGAAAAGGAACAGAGGAATTGTCGTAAACGAGACCACATCAGCAAGATATCGAGCTGAGAAATGAATGATCAATATTCTCATAGAAAGAAGTCCATCACGTAGCTTAGGTGATCCTGTAATCTTGTATCGTGAACTCACGAACGACTCGTATTTTCGATGTATCCGTATATTTTGGACAAACCTTGAAAAACCTTATGGTCAGATTGTGTGTCATTATTTTGATCGATTTTGGTCGATTATTGCGAGAAGCGCGTTGTTACGCACACGCATTAATTATCGGGCGTTCTGATTAAATTCTTTTATAGCACTCTTTTCAAATGCACGATTTCCGGTTAAAATAGCGAATTGTTTTTCTTTAACATCATCCGATATCTTCTAGAACGAGTTATAAGTTGCTCGTAAGATAATGTGCGCGTACGAAGCAGTTTTACTATTAATATTAAATAAAAAAAGAGAAAAATTTTATTATATTTGGATTTGCATATCCTGAATTTGCATATCTGAAGACACAACCGCGCACACGCGCGACGGGACTCGTACATTTCTATAATTTTATCATAATAAATGTTTGAATTTATTTCTGTAAAAAATACGACAGAGGGTGAGAAAGAGAGAGAGAGAAAAATGCAGAACGTAGAGAGAATGAGAGAGAAAGCGAGAAAGAAAGAAAACATGTTTAAAAAATGAAACAGCGGGCGTTAGAGAAGATGTATCACTTTTCGTTGAACAAAAGAAAGACAAAAAGCATAAATTATGAAAGAACGAAAGAATTTAAGCAGTATGTTTAGACGACATTTCGGCGAATCTCGGCCGAGAACTCCATGAACCTTTGTTTCACTCTCGCTTTCGAAAACATCGAAGAAATCCGAATTGATTCAAAGTAAACATTGCACAATATGAATGTTATATTTTCATTTTTTTAAATTATAATATGCATTTTTTCTCCACATTGCGTGCGACCAACCGCGGATCGCTCTAAAAGCTGTCGCCTCACTCACGGAGTTCGCGGTAAGAGATCGCGAGATGATTAAGTATAAAACGTTAGTGACTGTATCCAGTATCATATATCTGATAAAAGATACCCCCGATGCCAGAGATGGCGTGTGACAATAAAGTGATTCAATGATTTCACTGCGTTTTGATCACCTTTTCATGTCACAGTTGTTTCTATTCTTTATATAAAAAGCCATAAATTTATGTAAAATCATCGGAAGTTTTTTAATATGTTGGAAAGCTAAAATAAAGGATAAAAACTTTATACCGTTTTTATTAGTCAATTAATACTCTGATATGATTTGTAAAGCCATTAGAGTAACGCTATTATATATATTGCATTTTTTTTTTTAATTACGAATTATTTGATAAACTGGAAATCGAAAGATAGACGAAGATTGATTAAGCTGTTTTCGCCATAATTGCTTAATTATCATAGTCATTATTATCGCGAAAAAAATTTAGTAAAACACAAAAAAACTTGCAGTTTTAATCATAATTAATCGCAGAAAACTCTATGTGATTTATATAGTCTATTTAATTCTTTTCTGTTAATATATTTTTAATTTTGTTTTTATTTCTGCACAAAAAATAATCCTAATCTTATCCATTTATTTATTTAAAATTAAATACAGTTTTTAAAAAATCTCTTTTGAATCTGATATTATATATAAATGTATCTCTATATTAAAATTGATTCAATCCTTTTTTTATAAAGAAGAAATAAATCACTTCTCTTTTTATCTATATTCCATCCACTCTTAAAAAAGGCATGTTAAATCGATACTCGCAAGTATTGTTGCTTCTTTTCCGCTGATTGGTTATCTCGTAACTACGCTGTACATTATTTCATTATCAATAAAAGGCTGTCATGGCTGTGCCGCGCATTTGATAGTTCAAATATTAAGCATTTTTTTGATAAAGGCCAAATCTTTTTATTTTATAATATATTGTTATTATACATATTGTTATTATTTTATTATCTCTTACAATTTTTACTGTAGGTATATAAAACTTTCTATTATCAATAATAAAATTAACGTTTTGATATGATAACGTGTGCTTTTTTGTTATTCTTGGTGCAATCTAAACGATTGATAATGTCATTGTTCTGTAATTATCTCCATCAAACTTACCCATCAACCAGAAAGAAGCCTGAGAGAGGTCACGCCGCCGTTTTTCATAAGACACTTTTTCTAACTGATACAATAGCGTCAACTAGATCCATTTTAGAGGCGGCGGAATTACATGGACAGATTCACTTTTTGGTGCCACGGTAAAACGGCCAGTTGGTACATATCCGTGCTAAATCCATAATTATGGATCAAAAATGCGGAGAAATATTATACATTTATTAATGTTTTATTAGTTGCGCGTGATGTTTTTTTCATTTTAGTATATACTACGGTCAGCGATAATAAGTTAATATTGAAGTATTTTTATGTACTTCGGAGCGAAAATAGTGTCAAACGGAGCGCATTTATTGAATATATAAAAACTTTTAACTGTAAAATTATTAAAAACTATAAAATTTTTATATTTCTTATATTTTTGAACGTAATTTTATTTCATTAATAAGATTTTTGTAAATGAAATGACAAAAAAAGGACATTATTCAAATAAATTTTAATTCGATACAAATTTAAAAATTAGATGAAAAATTTTTTTTCTTATCTAAGTAAGAATTATTCGAATTATATCATATTTGGTGTCACTTTATATAATCGGAAAAATCTCATTAATCCATTAAAATTATTTTCAAAAAATTGCTTTTTAAAATAAAACATAAATATTTTAATTTTTATTACATAAGATTTTTGAATATTATAGATAAATTATTATAGATAAGTAAAGGTCTTCGATGTTATCGAAAGCAAGAGGCGAGAGCGAGTATGAGTAAAAAGCAACCGAGATGACGTATCATCAAAAAGTTTTTAAGTCTCTTATATGCGAGGGGCTTATTCCTTTATATAGATATAGTATTTCACGAATATATATGTGTCATATTACCATAGAAAATAAAACTTTTATCTGTTTAAAAATAATTTGAATGTATTAATGATATTTTTGTGATTAAAATGATACCAAACACGACATAAACCGGATAATTTTTAGGTAAATATGTGATCAAAATTTTTATTATTAATTTAATTTTTGCATATATATTTTATAGTACGTAAAATATTTTGGCAGCGAATCAACTACCTAACATGGTATTTGGCCTTGGTAACGTAAACACCGGCGTAAACATTGGCGCGCTATTGTTCACTGCTTTGTTATCATTCATACAACGATACTTGAATAAAAACTGTAGTGGGGCGAGACACTCAAATTCCTTTCGTATTATCATTCGCACGGCGACACTCGAGCAATATAGTAACAGTGAGACACTCCGTTAAGTTTCCTAAACGCGATCATGACAAGTATCGGGAAATAATTTGATAAAATTAATTAATCTTTTACGAGCGAACGGCTCGTCGTATCGTTGGTGCTGTCATCGTGCCGCGGACGGCTTTCGCGTCTTTCGCGTCGCGTGTCAACACAGCATTGCCACGAGTCGCACAATGGCTCATATGTGGCACGCGCATTTATGCGTCGAACGGACATTAGTGCGTCGTCGGTGCCATCATCGTGTCCGAGCAACTAATGTGTCGCGTTGTCGCGGTATCGCGTTTTCGCAGTGTAATTTTAAAAAAATTGTAATTTTAAAGTAATGGTTTCGATAGTAACACAACGATGAACGCCATGTGCCTCTTTAAAGTCGAATTAAGAAATTAATTTAAACAGTATATATTTTTTTAGAAGAAAAATATATTTTCTTCTTTTTATTAAAAGTGTTTTTCTATCATTATTAGTATTAATATTATTATTGTTTTTATGAAAAAGGAAGACTTAATAGTAAATTAAACATGGATATAGCTATTATGTATAGATTTATATATTTTTAGTTATTTCTAATTGCTATCAGTTTGTCCATTTTAGTTGAGTTCTTTGATAAAAAAATTATGATTGGAATTAATCCTAGGTTTTCCTGGCGATTCCTGAAAGTAATGGTTTCGGTAGTAACACAACGATGAACGCCATATGCCTCTTTAAAGTCGAATTAAAAAATTAATTTAAACAATATATATTTTTTTAGAAGAAAAATATATTTTTTTCTTTTTATTAAAAGTGTTCTTCTATCATTATTAGTATTAATATTATTATTGTTTTTATGAAAAAGGAAGACTTAAAAGATTAGATTAAACATGGATATAGTTATTATGTATAGATTTATACTTTTTTTAGTAATTTCTAATTGTTATTAGTTTGTCCATCTTTGTTGACTTTTAAAAAAAAATTATGGTTACGAACAAATATATTTTAATAATTAACTATTAATTAATATATTTTTTGGTTTTTATTAAGAAACTGTTTCTAGGCACTTGGGACATTAACATCAATTTTTGGTTTTTTTTTAAGAAACTATTTGCAGATATTGGACATACCGCCACCTTAGGACAGGACATCAGTCCTGGATTAGTGCTTTTAGATACATGTACTATTCTATATATATAACAAAATACATGCGCAAATCAACATACTATCTCAAAAAAATTTTATACTTTTTTGAATATTATATTACGAAATTATATATATGAATACTATAATAACAATGCATGTATTTTATTATCCATAAATATAGTTGTTCGTAACTACGATTTCATAGAAAATTGTTATATCCATTTATTTTTCAATAAAGAGATATATTTCTTAATAATAGAAGTACATGTTTTCTTGCGAAATTTTCAATCTTGTGAAATGAAGATAAATGGTAACTGTCGTTGATTCATTACCGAAATCATTGCTATCGGGAGCAGTCCGAAAGATCCGGGATTCGTTCCCTCCTGCAGCGACTCTAACATTCAACGGATCACTTAACTTTTCTTTGCGGATCGATCTTACAGAAACTGATGTAGAAACAAGACGTTGGTCGTTCTCTGCCTTTATGATCGTTTTTCTCTTTGTCGGATATTAACCAGCGTATCACCCGGCGGAGGGAGGGCCTTGTTAAAATCGTTGGGTCTGTTATTCTCTACGTGGCAATGACGCGATTTTTTATAACGATATTTTATGGTTTATAAGATCCATTTTATCCTGTTAAAACAGTCATTCGCGAGATATAATATATATTTTATTATTGATCGTGACATTCGTATAAAATGGCGTATTGGAAAATAAATCGGGCGGTGGATACTATATTACAGATCTCGAATGTCTGTCGAAATATCTTTGTATATAAAAATGATAGTGATTACATCGCGCGCGCGTACGTGTGTGTAGGTTTTGATTATTATAGAAATTACACGTATTGCAATCGAATATTATGAATAACGTCGGTTTATTTATTTGTCGCGTTTGCTCACAAATTTTAAATCACAATTTATCTTATAATTTAATCGTTGATTTTCATCGAGGCTTTGTCTATATTTTTGCATTTTGAATATTTCTTTTGAAAGTCTGCGCAAAATGTGCCAGTAGTATAAGATAGAAAAAACACTCTTAACATTTTATACGCTATATATTTTATACGCTTTTACGCTAAAAAACAATATTGCACAAGATATCGCGATTTTTTGACATTTTATAACATTTTGCGAAAATCTGATAGCTGATAGTATCACCGGCGATCATATAAACGTGAAAAAATTAATTAACGCTGTCAACAATTAAAACTCCTTAAAAAACAATAGAACACGGTTAAAACTATAAGAAAATATAATTAATTATGTTTATATAAACTTGTCTATATATAGCTTTTAATGTGCATCGATGCGCACTAATGCATCCAACTGAATTCATAAATTAAAAAATTAATTGAATAATATAATTATAAAAAAATATTAATAATAAAAAGTTACATAAATTAAAAGCATGATTTGATAATGTTTAAAATGCTTAATACTTTTCACGAATAAGAAAAAAGTGAAAGCGATTTATTGTAAATATCTTCTACACGTTATATCTAAAAATGAAGAAAAAAATTATTAAGAAAAAATTTATTTAAGAAAATTTATTTCATTTTACATGCGCATATACATAAAAATACATCAATTATAATTTATTATCGATGTAGTATATACTAGAATGACA